CCCATTTTTTGGCAATAGCTTCTTTAAACAAGTTAGGTTGGAGTTATTTTAATTGTGTGCAACCTTTTTTTTTCTTTTAATTTTTATCCTTCTAAGAGTTTGTATGAATTGGTTTTTTGCTCTAGCAAGTTGGTGGTTTGACTTTCCACAGAAAGCTGGTTCACGAACAACTAACTTTACTAAGGAGTTATTTCTTGTTTGTTAGAAATAAAAACAAAATTGATTATATGTTGGCAGCTTTTTTTTGTTGGAAAGTGGTTATAATTTTAACTCTTTTAGGGGAGCTTATGGTAAATGCTTGAAGTTAATTTTTAATATTCTAATATAAGGCAAACAAATAAGAATCACTTTAAAGAATAAAGGTGATTTGATATACTTTAAAGGTAATATCTTTCTCTTTGTACTCATCAAACATTTAGACATAGGTACTTTTAGAGAAAATTTACATATTATCAAAAACATGGTTAGTGATCCTTTTATTTCCATGCTAAAATAACTTTTTAAGAAAGGAAGAGAAATAGACTTCAAAAATGATTATTTGACAAATAGGTAGGATTGCAAAATAAGATGATCATTTTTCTGAAAGGTTATAGGCACCTTTAAAGCTTTCTCATTTGTTTATGAAATAATAGTGATTATTGAAATATATTTCCTTTCATTTACTGAAAATTGAATAGTTAGTAAATAAGTTATGAAAAGATTATTATAGTCTGTTCCAGAATGTATCAGATTTATTCATGTGAATTTTGAGGATGTAGGTAACACTAAAAAAAAAAAAATAGGCCTGTAGTACTGAAATCTTTCCCTTCCCTCTTCCATAGTTAACAGGAAATTTTAGTGAGAAATTTCTGGCTTTCTTTGAAAGCATTTACTGTATTGCCCTGTAGGGATGCTTATTAAAATCATACTCTTTATTTCTCTATCAATTCAAACTTTCCTCCCACTCTCAGTGGTACTGAAAACCCTCAATTCACAACCAATCTCTTTCTTTTAACCCAATATTTATATTGTATGAGCATCAAAACCCTGTTACCATTTTCATTTGATGAGGCAAACACTCAGGTCTGAGCCTTTTTCGTGATGAGCTTTTATTTAGATTGCCTTCACTTTCCCAGCTCACTGTCCCTTTCCTCCTTTCCTTGAAAGACTATCTGCAATTCTCCCATCCTCTTAAGTATTTTTTGACTGAAAACCAGGTTGATTTTTTTAACCATCTTTTCTTTTTTTCTGATTATGCATTGTATATCTTTTGCTTTTAGCACTCGCAGTGTTAAAAAAAATTTGCTTGTATGAGTAATGCCACCTACATAAAATAATCTATATCAGTTCACTATTATTTATGGGGTGGGGATGGTGAGAGTAACAGCAGTGGTGGGGATGATTTCTTTGGTAAAGAGAGAGACTTTCTGATGAGGAAACTCCCTCCTGTGCCGATGGAGATCATCAACTTAAGTCCTGAGAGAGTTGTTTAGGGCAGTTTGAAGTTATGTGATTTGTCCAGGGTCTCTCGGCCAGTGTGTCAGAAGTGGGATTTGAATCCAGGTCTGTCTCCTAAGTTGGCTGTCAGGCATTCATTTATACTGCTGCTCCTTTTATTACCTGATGTAAATAGTTTGTTTATTTTATTCTGTTTAGTTCCTCTGAGAAAGAAACTCTATTTAAATTGTTGCTTTAGTGGCTGGTATAATGCTGTGTGAGCCTGTAAATATATCTTCTTGATGAAAAACTAATCATTGTAATGTGTAAGCATTGTTGTACGGCTACACTAAAATAGTGAGAAAGTACCTAATTTTAAGCTGTCTTAACTATTATATCACTTTCTCTACAAAAATTTTACAAATAAATTCAGTGTTTTTTTCATATTTTAACATTTATTTTTGACAGTGATATTGTTACTCTTGAGAGAATCAGAGGAAGAACCCTAAACCCTAATTGCGCTCTAACCCTAACCTTAACCCTAATTGCTCTCTAACCCTCTATAAATAAGGAAATTGAGGGATAAAGTTTATAGATTAATGACAGCTATGAGTATAACATATTGTGTCATTCTGTGTAGATTTTGGTATCTGAATTTTAAGAAGCCTTTAAACAATGGAAAAGTCTAATTGTCATAGTCCACCAAGTGAGGATTAGGGGCAGCCCTGGCTCAGGCCAGGACTCTCTTGGTGAACCAAGAACTTGGTTCAGTGTTGGGATGACCATTAGTCATTCAACAGGTTTTTTGTTTGTTTGTTTGTTTTAGTATTCAACAGTTTTTCAGTTTTTTTTTTAAACAAGAATGACTTAGCCCAACATAGAAAAGATATTCAACAAGGATTCTCTCACACTTCGAGTAGGTAAATGCAACCCTTCTCATCAGGTGTGATCAGCAGAGGAGGGTGTGGTGACTCAGGAGTTGAGCAAGTCTAAAAGGCCCCAGCTGCACTTGGGTGGGCTCTTCTGTGCCCTTTGATGACCAGAAAGTTAGATCCATATTCCCAGAAGTTGCATCAAGGGAGGCTAAGCTTGAGCCTTTGTCCCCTGGGCTAAAATCAAGATTGTTGTGATATCTTCCTTGTTTTTCAGGGCAAAACCAGTCTAATTTCTTCAAGGGAGGGAATTAGGATACTGCTTTTATAACACTATACAAAGTTGTACTGTGGTATAGTATTTTTAAATTGTGACAAAAGAAACTAAGCTCCCTGGTATAGAGTTACGGGAAAGCCCTGTCCTGCTCCTAGCTTTATAAAAAATATACTTTTCATGAAATACATAGAAAATTGATTATTCTTTATTCATATGTATTTGTAGGTTTGTAGCCTTTTCTATCTCTTCTTTCTAGTCAAATGTTCATTTCTAACACCTACAAATCTGCAACCTTAACTATTTTTATCCAGACAACACAAAGTTCTCCTCTGTACCATGTGCTTTGATACTTTATTACAGTTTAGTGGTTAATTACATCCCGTTTTGCATTGTTCCCTAATCATTTCACCTGTACAAGGCTTGTCTTCCCAACAAGATTATGCACTCCTTGAGGGCAGAAATTGTCTTGTATGTGATTTTTCTGTCTCACAGTGCCTATTGAAATGCTTAGCACATAGTAAGTACTCATAAAAATGCATGTTGAATTAAATTGAACATATTTTCTGTGGCCAACTCATAATTACACTCTGGCTAAAAATTTGACAAGTTCAATTTGAAACTGAAATGAACTTAATGAAATACGGAAATTGTAATAGAAAGTGTAACTAAGCCTTTATAATAGAATTTTAAGCACAATCATCTTTTATTATTCATGTTAATAGAAGGAAAAAGAAAGGTACACACTATCAGTGAGAAGACTAAAAAAAAGTTATAAGGCTTTTGGAAAGCTGTCTGAGACTAGGCTTGGAGGGATACTATCAGACAATCATTACCTTTTTGGTGCCTGGAATTAATTCCCTCTTTGCTTGGCTTTGGTGGACCAAGGCATGGCTTGGATGTCAAGGGGGTTGGAGGCTTGAGGCTGACAGGAGTAATCTACTCAAGGACAATTAAGAGCTGGTTATAATGGCTTAGATTTAAAAAACAACTTTTTTCTCCTTTTCTGAAATGGACAAAGTGTTATGGGCATGTGGGTATGAATAGAAATTAAAGTGATTTAGTCATAGAATCATAAACTCTTAAAGTTGGAAGATCATTTAGTTTAACCTTTTAGCCTTCCCAAGATCATTTATAATCTAAGATATCCAATAATGAAAAGGGATGTCTCTTCCTCATGGTGAGTCAAAATCTGTCTCACTCTGCCTTTTACTCATTGGTTCCTGTTTTCTGATCTCTCTTCTAGATGAAAACTATTCATTATGTGACAGTTCAAACTACTATCATCTTGGTTACTTTTCTTTGGATACGCTTTGATTTGTCAATAGCCCTTTTAAAATGTGGCATATACTACTGAAAAGAATGCAGTTCAGATGCAGTTGGACCAGTGCAGAATAGAGTAGGTTTTTGTCTCTTTCCTTTTTGACAACATTTCCATTAATGTTACAGAAGATTGCATTAGGGTTTTTTGGGATTGTCTATTTCCAAAAGACTGCTATTTTCTTTTTTTTTTTCCCCTTGGGGATTGGGGGTAAGGAAGGGTAGGCAATCAGGTTAAGTGACTTGCCCAGAGTCACACAGCTAGTGAGTGTCTTGAGGCCACATTTGAACTTGCGTCCTCCAGACTCCACGGCTGGTGTGCTATCCACTGCGCCACCTAGCTGCCCCTTCCTGCTCTTTTTAAAATCATATTTAGTGTCGTAGATTTAAAGCTGAAAGGGACCTTGGAATCCAGCTAGTACAACCCCCTCATTTATAAAGAAAAAAAGGACCAGAGAAGGTCACAGACTTGTAAGTAGACCTGGGATTTGAATCCAGAATAAAATCTTTACCTTAATATATATCAGTCATTATTCCTTCCTACCAGTACTATGAGATTATATTTATTTTACTCTGTTAAAGTTTCAAATTTGATTGTTGCCTGCATTCATTACCTTGGTGCATAGAAGACATGAAAACCATAAATGCTGTTTGTTTCTAATCTTTGTGTTATTCTGTGAATTAAGGGTAACTCTTCCCACTGTTCTTTTTTTCTACATTGCTTTCTATAGTATCTGATTTTACTAAAGACATCTAGGCATTTTTTAATATCTCCCACAAATTCAAACTTAGGATTACTTAATGTACCACTAGTTCTACCACATCATGGAAGTTGCTTGCCATGTTTTACTGCCTACCATAAAGATAGTAATAATAATAGCTAATATTTATAAAAGCTTTAATGTTTGCAAAGCACTTTACATACATTTCTTCATTAATTATTTGAAGAAGTCTTAACCATGTAATGTAATCATCCTTCACACCCTTTCAACCACTTTTCCCTTGCCCTGCCCCTCAAAAGTGCTGCATATTTCCCTTAGGGAAGAGAGGAAAAGCTAATTTTAGAATATATATTAAGTACCTTTCATTAATAAAATAGTTCTTTGGTTTTCTTCTAGGTCCTGTTATTGCTTTGGAGTTTAATGGAGATGGTGCAGTAGAAGGATGCCAGCTGATCGTAAATGATGTGTTCAATGGGACCAAGGTGAGAAATTCTATCAGATTGTAGGAAGATAGGGATAAGGCATGTACTTGAAAATTTTGGTATAGGGAACTCCCTGTTGAGTAAATTGTTCCACCAGGACAAGTCATCACCTTCTCTGCATCTCCAGTCTGAGTTTTGCCTAGAGCATTACAAGATTAAGTGACTTGCCCAGGGACTATATAGCCATTGTGAGTCAGAGGTAGGACCTGAACCCCAGTCTTCATAGTTTTAGGATCAGCTCTCAATCAACTACTTCACAGTGCCTCTTAAAAATTGTATGAAATGATAATAGACTTAACATATTTATAGTTGAGTTAAAATATTTGTTCAAACAATTTTCCTCACACTAGGTGATAGCAATATTACTTCAAGTAAGCAAAAAGTCAGTTGATTCAAAACTTCCCTGATTTGGAATTTTGATCGTTAGAAAGCAGCCAGGCCTAAGTTTGCCTTTGTATTATCTATAAATAAATCATTTAGGAAGTAAATTAATTAATAATGGATTCAGTTCATCAGATACTTATTGGAAATTTAGTATGTGCTGCAGACTTTTCTTACAGGAGAAATGTAAGACGTTGGGGATAGGGCATTTGAAGAAGCTGTTCTCTACCACGGGAACAATAAAGGGTTGTAAAATTCAAAGCTAAAATGTATGATACATTATAATAAGAAAAAGGTACTTCTGTCCAGGGGAGAGGTAAATATGAGTGACTGTAGCTGTCCTGCAAGTCTTCTTGGAAGAAATGCATTTTTAGCTGTACTTTGGAGGATAAGTAGGACTTTTCTAAGAAAGGCAAACGAGGAAGAATATTTTCTGGTCCAAATTAGGGGAAATATGAGCAAAGACAAGAATAATTATGATATGTTCCAGCAAAATGGGAAGTCTGAATCTTGACTAGCATTGAAAATAGCCAGTGATGGAGAGTCTTGAATGTTAGGGTAAAGAATCAGAACATAAGCAAGGGCTCTTAACCTTTTCTGTGGGTGTCCTGGACTCCTTGGGCAGTTCAGCAAAGCTTATGAACCCCTTCTCAGAATCATGGTTTTAAATATATGATGAAATGTATAGAATTATAGAAGAAATTCTGTGTGGTTATCAGAGTATTAAAAAGACAAGTTCATAAGCTCTAGGTTAAGAACTTGAGCTAGAGACAAGATACCATCTTGTGCAGCTCCTTCAGAGGAGGAACTGGGACTCCCTTAATGTAATAGAAATAGTAAGTGGGCAGAGCCAGGACCAGAGCACAGGAGTTTTGACTCCTAAGTCCATTACTCATTACCCTTTTTAATGCTGGATTTTAGATTTAGAACGTTTTATTTTCTTGAATAGGGGGAAAAAAACTATTTACAAGTACTGCTGAGCACTTTGGAAATAGCATTATTGAGTTTTTAAAATAGCTTTTACATTTTGTTAAACAATTTAAAGCTGTCTGGGACTTCAGATCATTTTAGCTGAGCTTTCAATTTACAGATGAATAAACTGAAAGCAGAGACACTAAATTAAATGACTTGCCCAATATCCCAAGAAAGTAGCAGATCCCAGCGTTGAATCTAGGTCCTTTTGACTCCAAATCCAGTGTTCTTATTAACACTGTGTGACATTAGCTTATCAACTTAATTAGTTAAATGTAAGACACCTGTTTATTAAAGCAAATTCCCTAAACACCTCTGCAAGTCCACACTTCCTTAGTCTAATTATTGCTTACATCTTTGCAATAATCTATACTTTTAATTTTTCACTGGTTTAGATATTCATGAAAATTAATATCATGATTTGCTGCCATCCTTTTAGATTTTTTAATTTCCTGGAAAATACATGTATGTTATTACATTTACTGCTTTTGTTTTGTTGAATTGCTTTTCTTTTCATTGTTATGAGAAAGTGTGAGATTTATTGGGAAGTAATGGTAGAAAAATATTTTAAAGCACTAATAAAACATTAAAAGATAAATTTAAAAATCCCCAAATTACCATTTACATTTATTTTTCTTTACACTTGGAGTCAAGAAACCTAGACTTGAGTCCCACCTCATGAACTTTGTGACGGGCAAATAATTTAATAGCTCAGATCTCAATCTCCTCATTTGTAAAATGGAGGTAATCCTCATACTATCTAACAATTTAACAGAATGATTGTGAGCAATGTGTCTTACAAACTTTAAAGTGCTATGTTATTGTTATTTGATTACCAGTTCTCCCTAGTATGTAGAATTATCATACTTGTAATGTTTCTGCATTTCATGAAAATATTTGCATTGAGAAGAATGAATAAGATATGCCATAGAGCAGTAGATTCTCCTGCTTACTAATAATAATTTTGCTATACTTGGAATAATGTTGCATTTAATATGGGATAGTTTGGCGAGATACATATAAATCATTATGTGAATATTTTCTAGTTATTGGGAAATAATTATAGAAAACTTGCAAAAACAGAAGGAAAAAGTCACACAGGATGGAAAAACGTGGATTTCAATCAACATTACTGGAGGGGACATTCAAATTGAGATCACAAACCATTGAAGTATATGAGTTGATAGGTTGTTGTCACTCTGGTTTTTGTGATTTAAGATTTCCTTAATAGACACTTTTTTTTTTTTGAGAGCATGAACCTTTTAAGTGGGTGCATACACAAATTTTGGTGGGGAGGAATTTAAAACTCAAGATGTCTGTGTATGGAGTTGGGAAGTACTTTATGCTTTCCTAGCTACTTTCACATCTATATAATCTCAATTTTCTTAACAGTCTGGGCATTAAGAGGGCTGATGTTAAGAGACAAAGAATGGTTAAGTGACTAGTTAATTAAGACATTTAGTGATTGAGCCAGGATTACTAGGACTAACCCAGTGCTCTTTGTATTATATATGACACCTTTTTATATAAACCAAAAGGCATTGCAGTTTAGAAGAAATCATGTGATTTCAAGTGTGCTTTTATAAATGTTCTAATTTTATTTAAAGAAGATTTTCTTCACAGCACTTTTTAAAACTTTAACATTTAATTTGCAACTGCTGGAAATGTAATATATCAATTATAGAAGACTTGAATGTTTGGATATTATCTTGGATGAATTTTATGATTGTATTTAGAGGGCAGCAAAATTTTTGACTAGGTTCAATAATGAACAGGACTCTGGTATTTTGTGTTGATTTGTTATTAATATTTTTTGTCTCTTTTAAATTTAAAATAGATGTTTGTATCAGAAAATAAAGTAACAGCTTCTGGAGATGTTGACAGTTTCTACAACTTTGCTGATCTGCAGATGGGGATGTGAAGTACAGCATGGAACCATTATTCTGACATGAAGCCCAAATTTTCAACTTGTTTATGTAGGTTTTGATAGTATAATTTTCTGCACTAGGAGTATTTTTTTAACTAATGCTAAAATGTTAAAAGATTATTTTTGAAAGAATTTCTTTAGTATGACATTTACTTGATGCAAAATAGATAGTTCATCTTAAAATTTACATTTAATGGTTTTTAAGCACTTAAATCCTTCTCCCACTGTCTGTTCTTCCCTAGAACTTGAAGGTTCACATTTCTGAAACTCTAATTTAAATGAACTGTCAATGAAACATCTACAGACAGTTTTAGGAAGCGAATAAAATGTAGCACTTCCGTGCATAGGATTTAGTACTTGGAAGGGGCCTTAGAGATCCTTTACTACAATCCATTTTATAGATGAGAAATCTAAGAGCCCTTGTCAGTTAAGTGAGTTGCTAAAGGTCATATTTAATAGTAAGTGGGCAAAATTGGGAATTTGAAACCACATTTTCCCTCTGCAAATGCATTGATTTTTCTACTATGCCACCGTAAATAAAACTTAACCAAAACATTTTAACAAGATTGCCATTTTAACATTAACATCTATAAAGAACATATTGGAATTTTGTGTAATTTTACTTTATTTTAATATATATAGTGCTATTGGGAAAAAAAGCCTACTTAATAATTCATTAACCTTCTTAACTAAACTGTTTAAATTCCTGATAATTTAAGCTATCACATTTGTTCTAAGGAAAGACTTTTGCACAGCCCATTACTTGTTTTGGTACCTCTTCTTTTTAGGGAGATTTGTTTCTGTGACTGTATCGATTCAAATCGATCAAGGAATTTTAGTTATCGTTGCTAAGGACTATAAAATGAAACGATGGCTTTGTAAACAAAGTAGGTTGGGGCTGGATCTATTGCTATATAAACTGAAGTTGTCAAACAGATGGACATTTGATAAGTTGTTTTACCAAATAATTACACCAGTCTATACATAGCACAACTTTTCTAAATAAAGATACACAATAGTGGTCAACTTTGGAGCTAAAATTTTTACAACTCCTTGCAGGAAAGGTATCAATCAATAGAAATATAACTGTTATCTGAAAACTGAGGATGCTGCCCAGAAATAAGACTTCTCCTGATAACAGTATAGCATTAATATATTGATTACCAAAAAGCCAAATAAATTTGGTTTCCACAAAATATTCTACATGTAAAAAACAATATTAAGGTAACTTTTAAAACTGTCTAGGTTGTGTAATTGTTTGGGGGGTTGGGGAGTGCATAGTAACCTAATATTCAGAGTTCAGAAATGTCTTAACAGGCTTAGGAAGAAGTGAATTTGATATTTCCATTGTGCAAAAGATAACTTATCAGAAGGTGCTCCATTTTTATAAGTTTGAAAAAGGGATATATTAGGAGCCTTAATAATGCCATTTTGATAGGCCTAAACACAGAAAATAACTTTTTTTTAAATTAAAAATAACTTTTCAAAAATTCTTTTCAAGGTGATTATAAAATGTGAAAATTTAAATGACATTCTTTATTACTTTTAATAATGATTTGAAATGCCATTCCTAACTACTTCCATAAATTATATGCTTATAGTCAGAGTAGTACAGTGTAATGACCATACACTTAAGTATTTAAAGAACCTGTACTATCTACTTAATATTGTGCTGATTTTTGCATTTCATTTCTTCAACTTCGATGAGACCAGAAAATTTTTTAAGATTAAGGAAATGGTGTCTTAAAGTAGAAGTAAAAATCAGTAGTTGTTTATTAAGGTTTTGGCTATAATTAAAGGAATACTTAGTAATCCAGTTGGTAGTAAGAGGACTATTTTTTATTAGCTAGAGTCTAAAACTGTATATACCTCACTTATTTAAAGTTGCTACTATTTATGTTCTTTTGAACATAAAGATGTACTTTTATGAAAAAGTACTTTGATTTCCTATTATTTGAAGGGATTTTAAAAGTAAATGAAGTTACATGCTAGCATAGTTTCTTTGATAATATCTGACTATACAGCATTTCTCTACAGAATGGCTTTCCAATTCATGGACACTTAATGTAATGAATGTTAATTCATTTTCCTAATATGTTATATTTAAACTTACTACTAGCTTATGTCTCTTGTATATTATTACCTGCTTTACACAAATTTTGTATATTTACTGTCTAGCTTTTGTATATATTTCATCTAGCATTTGTAAAAATGGAATCTAAAATAAACATTGTTAAAAATAAAATGCTTTAGTACTCACTTTATATAGATCACTAATGTTTCAGATATACACCAAAATTGTGTATCATGATGTGAATCTGTTTTAGTGGTAAAATAAAATCATATGAACAATTTCCTGTTGTTTGTGTTAATGCAAATTGAGCCCTGCTTTAGCAGGCCACAGGATTTACACTATCATTTTATTTACTATATTATCCAAAATCACAAACACAAAATTTTAATGAACTGTTATTTTAGATTTCAGAGCAAGAAAACAAAAGTCTTTTCCCAAAGAAAAAAATGTCAACATAAGAAATTAAGGCATCTACTCAGAAAACATTAACTAAATTCAGGTTACAGTAAGAACAAGCAAACCTTGAAAGTGTGTATTTAATATTCATATACTGCATATCAGTGAAGTATGCATTAAACAGCTACTATGAACCCAGCACTAGCTACAGAAGTGCTATGAGGGATAAGAAATATTTAACACAGATAACTCTACAGTCTTCTTGGGAAGTTATGACAAAGTGTTTAATTAAAGGTTACTGTGTGGGTGGTAGATTTAATGGTTTTCAAAAAAAATTTTTTTTGCTTGTTCCTAATATCGAACCAGTAATTTAAAATTGTTTTTTAAAGAATAGGCAATACTTAGCATCATAGGTTATAGAGCTCAAATGGATCTTTGAGGCCTATTCCTATTTTAAAGAAAAATGTTATTGCTATCTTTTGTTTTTATATCACTTAACATTTCCAAATATATACCTTTCCTCTTCACTCCCCTCATTAGGGAACCATCCCTTGTAACAGGTTTTTGAGAGAGGGCAGTTAAGTAAAACCAACCCAAGGGCAATAGTGTATTTGATGATCTATACTCCTAGTCCCCCCCTCCAGCAAGGAAGAGTGGTAAATTTCCTTCAGTCTTCCCCAGGACTAAACTTTCTTGTCATTATAATTAGACGATGTTCAGTTACTTTTTGTTGTTCTTTCCTTTTACGTTGTTGTCTTTGTGTATGTTGTTTCCTGATTCTGATTACTTTATCACATACCAGTTCATATATCTTTCTGCATTCTTTGTTCATAGCTTCTTACAGTGCAGTAGGTATTACACCACATTCATGTACCACAGTTTATTTAACCATCCCTCAGCTGATGGGGCAGCTAGGTGGCGCAGTAGATAGAGTGCTGGGCCTCAGACACATACTAGCTGTATGATCCTGGGCAAGTTACTTAACTGCCTCAGTTTCCTCATCTGTATAATGAGCTGGAGAAGGAAATGGCAAACTACTACATTATCTCGGCCAAGAAAATCCCAAAAAATAATAGTTGATGGGTATCTACTTTGTTTCTAGTTGTTTATGACCTAAACAAAGAATATTTTGGTTTTTAGAAGACTCAGACCACCTTTTGAGTGCCTGCCCTAGCAGTGGGATCTCTGGATCAAATGGGACCCAGATATTTTGGTAACTTTTAAAGCATAATTTTAAGTATAATACCAAATTCAATTCTCATTTTTTAAATGTGAAAACAGATCCAGAGAGGATTTGATTTGCTCAAAGTCACACAGCCAGAGACTGGAGGCTTGACTGTCTGCTGATCTGCCTTAGATCTAAAGAGATTCTCAAAGTAAACTTACATTATTTACCTACTTAGAAGGTGTCCTTGCATTTCACACACGAATAAACTGGATTCTGAAAAATTGTTCTTAAAAAGTGTGACTTAGTTAAGTTTTTAGGGGGAAAAGGTCTTCAAATCATCCTAAGGGTGTCTTTTTCTTTCCTACAGTAGACTCTTAGCAATGCATATTCAGCCAATTTTTGATTAGTCAAGGGTTGGTGATCAAGAGCTAGCATTTTGAAACTTGTCACCTGGTTTTGAGTTAATTTAACTGCTCATTAGCAGGTCAGACAGAGCTAGAGAAGTTCGATAACATTAAGTTAAGACTATTATTGTAGGTAAGAGGTGATTTCCTCTTTCTGACTTCCCTGCCTGCATCAGTAAATGTGTCTACTCGTGTTTGGAAGGGTTAGAGAGGCCCAGATGAAGCATACTCGGTGTTACGATGACGTACGTGAAGCTTCAGGGTTTTTTTAGGTCTGCAGTTAAGCAATTTTTTTGAATTTTATTTTAAATAAACAAGTATTTACTCTTTCCCACCTACATTGAAAAAACATAAAAATATGAAGTCAAGCAAAACAAATTCCTAAATTGGTTATGTCCAAAATGCATATCTCTGCATCTTGAGTCTATCCCCCTCCATTGGGAAGTGGGTAGCATGTTTTGATTATTCGTTCTCTGGAGTCATGGTTAGTCACTGCATTGATCACATAAGCCTTTCAAAATGTCTTTACAGTGTTACGTAAATTGTTCACCTTCTGCTTACTTTACTCTGCATCAGTTCATAAAAGTCTTAGGTGTCATTCCTTTTAGTATTTCTTACGGTATAAAAATATGCTATTACATTTGTATAGCCATAATTTGTTCAGCCATTCCCCAATTGATGGGCATCTTCTTAACTACCCAATTTTTTGCCATTATAAGTAGCAGAACAAATATAATTAGTGTTAGAGCTGGTTATCTGCCTCTGTATTCAGTAACCTATTTTGTAAAAAGGATAATTAAAGTTTTTTTTTTTTTTAGATTGTTGATCCATTATCTGTGTCCCCACCCACGGATTTGGCTGAGTGATGTTTGGCTGAATAAAGTGAGTTTGGCTGTACTAATTCTTTTTTCCTCTTCATACATGAAGTGCATGACATTTCTCTGAACTGTTTTGAGGAGCATTTATTAGTACATATACTATGTACTAGAAGTCACAGTAGGCCAAAAGTATATAAAGATTAAAAGTGTAATAGCCAGTGTTCTCAAGGAACTTATGTTCTTTTAGGCTTACATACACTGATATATACAAAAGAGATAATAAGTTGATTTTGGAATAGATGATAATGGCAGTTAGGAACATCAATCAGGAATGGCCTTGTGTAGAAAGTGCATCATCTGAGTCTTCAACAGAACCAGGGATTCTAAAAGGTTAGAGCCGAAAAGAGATTACATTACAGGCGTGAGAAACAACCAGTGCAAAGACTCGGAGACAGGAAGATGGAATGTCACCTAAGAGAAACCAAAAGAAGGCCAACTGGACTGTAATGAAGAGTGTGTGAAAAAAGGGACACAGTATTGTGTACCAGGTCTGGCAAAGTAAGTTGGGGTCTAGTTGTGAAGAGCTTTGAGAGCAAAACAGGCATTTGTCCTAGAGGAGACGGCATGGTGCAGCCTCAAAACTGCTGAATTTGGAAGCAAATGGCCAGAGGTCATCCCAGCTCTCCCATTGATATTACTTGTGTGACTTTGAGCAAGTCATTTTTCCTCTGTCGTTCTCAGTTTTCTCATATGTAAAATGAGGAGGCTGGGAGTCCCAAGGGTACCCTCTGTAGCTGCTATTAGTTGTTAGGAATCTTTTTTTGTTTTTGTTTTTGTTTTTCTGCTAGGCAATGGGCTTAAGTGACTTGTCCAGGGTCACACAACTAGAGTCAAGTGTCTGAGGCCAAATTTGAACTCAGGTCCTCCTCACTCGGGCCAGTGCTCTATCCACTGCACCACCTAGCTGTCCCCAGGGATCTTGTTTGATGACACTTAGGGGTTCCCTATCAGTATTGTTGCAAGGTTATTGGAGGCCTGAGTTTCACTAGGCATTACACTACCACAAAATTAACCTTGCCAAGATAACTGGTAGCTGCAGCAGTTACCATCTATATACTTTGTGGCTGTACCTCAGCTAAAGCTAACTTGAAAGCTATTTATCTGAGGGGCAGCTAGGTGGCGTAGTGGATAGAGCATTGGCCTTGAAGTCAAGAGGACCTGAGTTCAAATATTAGCCTCAGACCAAACACTTAACACGTCCTAGCTGTGTGACCCTAGGCAAGTCACTTAATCCCAATTGCATAAAATTTTTTTCTAAAAAAAAAGAAAGTTATTTATCTGAATTAGTATTAAACTTGCAAACCTGAAAGAAGGAAAAAAAAAGTTGGTAGAATAACAGAACAAAAAAAACATATAGGTCCCTGGTATTCCCAGAGCACTGTGATAGAAGCTGGGAGCATCATCAAGTTTAAATAATTCCTGGTTCCTGCCTTTATGGAATTTATAGACTGGGGGGTGGGGGAGGACAGGACACCAGCACAATAACTAAAATAGCCATTATTACATCATAAATACATCAGATGCAAAGTGAAGTAAACAGAGCCAGTCGTGTTAAATGTAACGCAACTCCATCAATACAAATGGAAAGAACCAGAAAACAATTTAAGATGAATGGTGCCAAATTTAAAAAGAATAAGCTTGAAGACTCAAAGAAGAGATATGAGAAGATACTTTCCACAACTCCTTTGCAGAGGTGAGGGGAACCAGGGGTGTGGAACATTGCATATAATGGAGATACCTAGGTGGTACAGAGGATAGAGGAGGGCTGAGCCTGGAGTCAGGAAGGCCTGAATTCAAATCCAGCCTCAGACACTTACTAGCTATGTGACCCTGGACAAGTCATGTAATCTGTTTGACTCAGTTTCCTCATCTGTAAAATGGGGATAAAAATAGCACTTAACCTCTCAAGGGTTATGAGGCTCAAATGAGATCATAAAGGGCTTAGCACAGTATCTGGCACATAGTAACTACTATATAAATGTTAGCTATTGTTGTTGTTATTGTTACTGTTATGGTGATGGTGAGGGTTGGTAGAAGGAGGAAGAGGAGGTGGCACTATATAAATGTTAGCTATTGTCAGGTTTTTCCTATGTATTGATCAATTTGCAAATTTCTATTTCTTAAATTCTTCATATATAAGGGATGGCTCTCTGAGAGGAGGGATACAGGGGAAAACTAAATGATATAAATAGAAAATATATCAATGAGATCTATTAAAAGGAAATACAGAACCATGAAAAAAAGTGCCATGGTAAGTCCACAGCAGGTGATAGTGAGAAAGACTGGAGCTCAGAGAAGGGAGGATGGAGGAGATGGATTACAGAA